TGAGTCACACCAGCGAGATAAGGAGGTAAGGGATACATGTCCATACTGGGCACCATGCCACAGGCTACACTGCCTTGTGGGCAGGGTCTATGGTCACACCCAGGCTTCAAAAGGAAGTAGGGCACAAGGAACACCTTGTTAACGCTGTGACAATAGCCAAATCACTAAATCTCTCAGTCATAGATTCTTTACCTATTCCTCAGTTTCCTTTTGAGTCACTGTAGTGTAGTGGAATGAGAGAATTGGCTCTCAAGGCAGAAGACCTACGTTCAAATCCTCCCTCTGATCCTTGTGTCCTGAAGCAAAACTTAACCTCACTCAACCTCAGTTTCTTCTATTATAAAACAAAGGGTTCTACTAGATGGCGCTGAGGTCCCTTCTCGTTGTAGATTTATTATTCCATGATTTTCGGAAAATAGGGATAATAATAACTACAATACCTTCCTAGGAGTTGTAGGATTGTTTTAAGAGTCCGATAACATAAGGCATCTGATGTGATAACCAAATTTTGAAGTGCTATGTAAGTATCACTATTAATTTACTCACTTTTATTCAACAGAAAGAAAATGTGACAAAAAAGAATTCAGTTTGAGATTGCCTGAAGACTGCTACAGTGTTTCTTGACTTTTTGTTACTTCTCCTCATCTTCCTTGTAGTGATTCACTATAAAGCAATGTGATAGATTCTGTTACCAGTATAACAAATGAGACTTACCATCTTCCTTCCTACCTTATTAAAACGCCAAGTTCAGAGAGAATCCTAATCATCAGAATAGCTTAGTGATCCATATTCTAATTTTGCCAACAGATACTAAATAATTCTCTTAGAATGCTCTTTAAGAATATTCCAAAAACCCATTAAAAACAGCTGAAAAATGTATCAAGTTGTATTTTTTGAAGTACATATGTTATGGCTCATATGTAGAAACCACCTCCCCCTCCTCTGTTATGCCTTTCTATATAACGGCCAATTTCAGCATATGGGATAGATCCATATTCATTCCTGAGCAACAGCTTCATCAGATAATCCACATGAGGCCCATGTTATTTAAATGTATTTATATTTCACGTGACCAACGCCATGCTATGTTTAGAATGCTTTAATTCATGTACAATTTTTGGTTTACCAAAGAGGCATACTAAATACTTTATTGTTTAGTCATGGCAGTACTGTCTGACTCTCCCTTACCCCATTTTGGGGTTTTCTTGGCAAAGATACTGGAGTGGTTTGCCATTTCCTTCTCCAGCTCATTTTACAGATGAGGAAACTGAGGCAAATAGGGTGAAGTGACTTGCCCAGTATCACTCAGCTAGCAAGTGTCTAAGGCCTGATTTGAACTCAGAAGACGAGTCTTCCTGATTCCAAGCCCAGTACTCTATCCACTCTGCCCCCAGCTGCCTCACACTACACATAAATGTAGGTACATTAGGTGCTGATCATTCTTATAATAATCACCATCTACCCCTATAAGCAAAATCATTGACTAGACTAAGAAACTATTTTTAAATAATCTACCCAATTCTATGGAGGTACCGGTATAGTAATTGACATAGTAATGACTATGTCACCCTTCAAACTTCTTGGGGATAATCCTGAAAGATTGTGGTTTTTAATAGACTGATTCCTGGACCCCCTGTTGTGCCTTCTGTACCAATGTCAATCAACCAGTTTAACCAGTAGATTCTAGAAAAACGTATTTACTGAGAAGGTATAGAAAGAATATTAGTTACAAAACATTGCCTCCATCCTCATAGGCATATTCTCTGCTCTCACACGCAAGGTCCCTGGGCAGAGTGAGTCAAGCTCAAAGTACAATAAGAGTGAAACACATGTAAAAGGAACACCTTCTGGACCTAGAAGTCCTTTTCTCTAACTGTGGATTCCTCATAAGGTTTTCTTCCAATCTTCTCATACCTTAATACCCACCATGTGTTCTTCAATCAAGTGAAACTGGCTTCTTTGCTGTTACATGAAAAATACCTTCCATCTCTCAGGTCCAGGTAATTTCTCTGGAAGTCTCTCATGCCTTGTATGCTATCCCTCCTTCTCCTTGTTTCTTTGCTTCCTTTAAGTCCAAACTAAAATCCCACCTTCTCCAGAAAGCCTTCCCCAAATCCCTCTTAGTTCTAGTGCCTCCCCTCTTTATTATTTCCCATTTAGCTTCTACATAGCTTGTTTGTGCATAATTGTTTGCTTGTTGTCTCCATCATTAGACTGTGAACTCCTTGACGGCAGGGACTATCTTTTGCCTCTATTTGTATCTCCAGCACTTAGCACAGTGCCTGGTATATAGCAGGTATTTAATAAGTGTCTATTGACTGACTGACTCAATATAGCTCTCTGTTGCTCTCTGAGGATTGAGTGCCTTTCTAAAGTTCATAGCCAGCATTTCTCTCTGTCATGAGGGGATCACAATTCTTTATTATTATTATTATTATTATTTTTTATTTTTTAGGAAATTGGGGCTAAGTGACTTGCCCAGGGTCACACAGCTAATAAGTGTTATGTGTCTGAGGTTGGATTTGAACTCAGGTCCTCCTGACTTTAGGGCCAGTGCTCTATCCACTGCACCACCTAGCTGCCAACAGTCATTCTTTTTTTTTTTTTTTGGTGAGGCAGTTGGGGGTTAAGTGACTTGCCCAGGGTCACACAGCTAGTAAGTGTCAAGTGTCTGAGGTCACATTTGAACTCATGTCCTCCTGACTCCAAGGCTAGAGCTCTATCCACTGCACCACCTAACTGCCCCGGGGGTCACAATTCTTGAAGCTGTTGCTGTGCTTGGGGGAATAGTTTTTTGCCTCCTGAGTGACAAGATCAATATCTACCAGGATAGTAGGATTAGGAAAAGGCAATTAAGCCAGGACTTGATTGGCTTGGGAATGGAACAAGGCAAGGCTCATATTGTCCTTCCATTTCATGAAGCTTCCTGGTGGGCTCTGGTTGTGTTGACGTAGCTTCCTGGTCACCTAGGGGCATAAAAGTTTCCTACCACATGCAGTCAGTCATACTTCTTTGACTTGGTGGCTGTTTGAAGACAACACAGGTCATTATATCCTGTTGAACAAGATCCTGTTGAACATTTCCATATGGAGATGAAAAGTGCTTCATCTACAGAGGCTAAGTGCCACCCTGTCCCTGTTGTATGTCCTTGCTATATTAGGGCTCTTCCATGACTTTTGAGTGTCATATTTTGTCCCAATATCAAACCTGAACAGGGTATCAGCATCAAGCCCACCCCTAAAATGCAGGTATTTCATTATTGCTAGTCACTATGACTCTGATGTAGACAGCTTTGTGGTGCAGTGGATAGAATACTAGTCCTGGGGTCAGGAAGACTCATCTTCCTAGGTTCAAATCTGGCCTCAGACACTTACACCTATGTAGTAAGCCTTGAGCAAGTCACTTAACCTTGTTTGCCTCAGTTTCCTCATCTGGAAAATGAGCTGAAGAAAGAAGTGGCAAATCACTCCAGTATCTTTGCCAAGAAAACTCCAGTGGGATCATGAAGAGTCAGAGATGCCTAAAAAATGACTGAAAAAAATGAATGATGTATTCTGTTATTGAGTCTGGTTGCTGGTGGGACATCTGATGGCTGAGAAGGCTCTCCTGAACTCTGGTCACCCGGGCATTCTCCTTCAGAGCATTTGTTTGCCTAAAATCAGGATGGAATAGACACAAAGAGCCCCGGGGACCGTCAGCAGGGTGGTAGGATATGGATTTCTGCCCTGTCCCCTTAACCTGCCCCCCTCTTACTCAACCTGGCATCTCAAAGCAAATTTCACTCAACAGCCCCAGGGAAGAAACAAAGAGATTGTTCGCTGGAATGCACACTCAATTCCAGCTCAGCTTCTCTTAAGTCATTTGTTCTTCCAGGTCTAAAACCAATTATAGGGGCAGCTAGGTGGCGCAGTAGATAGAGCACCAGCCCTGAAGTCAGGAGGACCTGAGTTCAAATCCAGCCTCAGACCAAACACTTGACACTTACTAGCTGTGTGACCCTGGGCAAGTCACTTAACCCCAATTGCCTTAAAAAAAACAAAATAAAAAACATATAAAACCAATTATAAAGTGGTGGATAGAGCACTGGACTGGAGTCCGAGATGAGTCCGAGACTCATCTTTTATTAGCTATGTAATCCTAGACAGGTCACTTAACCCTGTTTGCCTCAGTTTCCTTATCTGTAAAATGAGCTGGAGAAGGAAGTGGCAAACCACTCCTGTATCTTTGTCAGGAAAACCCCAAATGGGGTCCTGGAGAATCAGACACAACAAAAATGACTGAACAACAACAACCCTGGCTTGTCACGATTGAAACTGACTGCTGAAGTTCCATATGTTGGATTGATGGTAGGCAGAGAAAATTTGTGCAAGCTCTGTGTAGGCCACCATTAAGAGTAAATCTGAGCATTTGTTTTTTTAGTACCAGCCCTTATTGACTGGTCCCTTTGTAACAATTATATGAATGAAAATAGCTTCCATAGCTGAAACATATCTATAAGACAGAAAGTGATAGTTAATACTAGAGAGCAGATTTGGAATCAGAGGGTATATGTTTGGATCCCAGGAACACTAATCATTACTCTGTGACCACGAACTAATCATTTTAATACTTTGTGCCTCAGTTTTCTTTTCTAAAAAAAAGGAAGTATTGGAGTAGGACTAGATTTAAGGTTCCTTTCTGGCTCTAAATTTAGAATCCCATGACCCCCTCTTAAAAAGGGGGTAGACCTGGTCATAGACTGAGTTTCACAAATTGTGAGACATTTTTTGCTTAAGCTCAGATCATTCCTTTGAGATACCTGTCTGTCATCTTGATTTTCTGAATTCATCCCCATTTGGCTTGACTTGTTGTTTCTCTCTGCTACCCCAGATTCTACCAATTCATTTTGCCAACTTTGCATTCTAGCAAGACTCTAGATTTGCTACTGCAGAGTGAGGCCAGCTACATCTATACCCCTCCAGGTTCTTGAGGTACCCCAGAGGGAGTGGGGTAATCCTCTTTTAATGCCATTAGCTTGACATCTCATTCCAGTGTTTTCTCCTCAATGTTAACCTCCGGTAATTATTGCTCCACTTCCTTTCAACCAATTAGCAACAACAACAACAAAAACTTCTACAAAGGCATATTTCTTTGAAGATACAGCAAGAACAAAAGTATAAGCATATTCTCCCCCACCCTCAACCTTTGAGGGGGGACATATTCTCCCTTATGCCCCCAACCATCTCTAAAGAGAGTGGATACAGACTTAACATAGTTTCTATGTAGCATTAGCCCCACCAAGTTCACTTTTAAATGTGGCGTGGCTGATGGATAGATAAGCCCACATCTCTGCTGTGCTGGAGTGAACCAGGCAGCTCACTCAGCACTTGGTTCCACGTTGTCTGGCTTCCAGCCATCCTGACACGAACTCTCGTTCCTGGGCTTCTGGTGGCTTACTCTCATGACCTTCGGATGAACACAAGGTTGAGATCATCTAATTTCCTTCTCCTAAAAGCAAGAAAGAATAGACACAGTAGTGCTAGAACTAACAACAAGACCATGTACTCACAGACTATGTAGCCCTGTTTGGGGGACAAAGGCCTGAGGACCCTCTTCCCACTAAAGGGGTAGTCCTTGCTTTCTCACTTGAACATAATCCAAATCCTACCTTCTACAAGAAGTCTTTCCTGTTCTCCCTCTCCCTTGCTACTGCCTCTCCTCTGAGATTATCTGCTATTAACATAATATATGCAGTTATAATATATGTTTCATATATATATGTATATATATGTGTGTGTATATATATATATATATATATATATATATATATATATATACACACACACACATACATAGTTGTTCGGATTAGACTATAAGTTTCTTAAGGGCAGAGCTGTGCTTCTCAAAAGGACCTTCCTCAAAAAAGGAGGGCCAGGCCTCTTTCACTCCCTTTAAGCCTCCACTTATGAGTCTCCGAACATTGCCACTATACTCCTGTCCGGAGATACTTTCTTCTTCCTGCTCCCCTACTTTTCAGCTCCCTTTTAGGTGTTCGAATTAGTTCTTGAGGACAGGGACTGTCTTTATTTTTGTATGTATCTGTATTCTCAGTGCTTAGTGCAGTCCCTGGCACATAGTGAGTGCTTAATAAATACTTCTTGTTCATGGCTAATATGGAAATGTTTTGCATGACTGCACATATATAATCTGTATCAAATTGCTTGCCTTCTCGAGAAGAGAGGAAAGGAGGAAGGGAGGGAAAGAGAATATGGAACTCAAAATTTTAAAAAAAGAATTAAAAAATTTTTGTTTACATGTAATTGAGAAAAAATAAAATAAAAATTAAATGTAAAAAAAAAAAAAGATAAAGTAGGCACATCTATGGAGGGAAATGCTTGTTGTTGATTTCCTGTTGTCATTGTTGTTGTTATTACAGTCCAGTGAGGGATATGATGATTACATAAATAACTATGACATAAGATAACACTTAATAAATGCATAAAAGAAATGAAAGGAAAGAACTAAGGGAGTTCTGAGGGAAATCAAGTTTAACTCAGTGTAATACTTATTTGTTAGCAAATTTGCAAAAATTCCTGTTATGTGATCAATCCTTCTATATGTCTCTCATCAGACTAAGCTAAGGTTTAAGAGCATGATAAGTTCCTAAAATTCAGTATTTTCCTCTCCTTCTCCCTCTCAATTTGTATTTTCCCAGCAATGTTTCAGATCATGACCTATCTATAACCCACCTTCTATGACTTTGTCTTCTAATAAGTTAGTAATAGGGGTGTCCACCTATTTTTCTGGGGGCCTTCCTCGGCTTCCCTTTTTGTCAGGAAGATAAAAATAGAGCACTCTAATCATGTGACCACTTCATCTTTTTCTGTTCATATATTTCTTTTAAAGATGGGTCTTTGCTATATGGAAAAGATTGGTGTCATTAAAAGAACTTTGTAATTTCCCAAAGGCAATCCAGCCCTCTATCCTCCTCCTTTTCAACTCTAGATCCAATTCATTGACTTTTATCAGTCTTTCTGCAGACAAATGGATGAGCTCTATAGATTGTCCATTCAACTGCATAACTTAGTTTGGACATCAGTTCTTTATTCTTTTGATTCTTCCTCTGTAAATAATTCTGCCAAATGATTTTGAGTGGTTAGATTTCATGCAGCAGGATCTTCAATGTTCTAGGGTTTGAGGCAGTCAGCAAAATTTCACCTGCAAAGAGGAGCATGTGGAAGACATTTCCTTTGACAGAAAATTCCTCCTCAATTTGGAATATACATTCAATCTCTTTTATGAAAACAGTCAACACTTTTAGTGAAAATATTTCCCTTTTGTGTAACTCACTTGACATTAATGAATGAAGAGCTGTCAAACAAGGTTCATTCCATCTTTCAAGGAATCTGGTTTGTTGGAAGTCATCTTGTTGGAAGAGAGCCTTCATGGAATTGTTTTGCAGTATCAAATCAAATGCATACAATAAGCACAGTAGAATCTTATGTTCTCTACCTCTTTCAGGAAATTGTGTGATAGTAAAGATGTTATCTAACATGGAATGTCTCTTGTAAAAGCCTGCTTATTCCTTTCTAATGCTCACATGAAGGATGACCTCAAGATGTATTAAGATTATTCTTACAAAAATTGTATATATGTAGGAAAGTAGGAATATAGAACAGTAGTTATTATTATTTTCTTGTTCACTTTTTGTGGCAGATTAGTGTGAACTTTTCTTTTATGTCTTTGATGTCTCCCTCTCTGGATGTCTTGAGGATTTAGCTCTTAATCCCCTCAAAATAGTATCATCTCCACCATGGACCTCTTTTGTGTGTTTGGGATAGATAATCCAACTGCTTTCTTCATCTTTGTTTTTTTCAGTGACATGTTCACTTCCTAACAACATATCAAGGAATGTAACATTATAGCCCAAATGTGGTGAATTCACTGTTCTTGTTTGTGAAAAGAGGTTTTTTTTAATTTAAAAAATCTTTCTAGATTTTTCCCCTCTGTCTTTCATCTATGTTTTACTCCTTTCAGTTAAATGTCTTCAGGATGACTTTATTTAATTGACTTTCTCAAAAAACTTTGTTCAAATTGATTTTATGAGGCAATACTGCGCACAATCTTTATCACCCTTCATTATGAGATGAATTGAATTTTGAAATGGTGTAGTCTTGGGTTGGGGGAAGGGAGAGAAAAAAAGCAAAACAACAACAACAACAACAACAACAACACAACACAGTAGAGAACAGAAGAAAACCTAGAAGGAAGCATAGAAAAGCTAGGTTGCTTTGAAAACAATGTGTAGGATTTATTATGTAAGTTTTTGAGAAATGGAAATTTATTGTTTTATATTGAATCCTTTCTTATGCTCTGCTATCCACATGGAAATGTTTTTTTCTTTTCTCATTTTGTATTTAAGTTTAAAATGAATAAACAATTTTTAAAAAAGAAAAAAAAGAAGGGCAGCTAGGTGGCACAGTGGATAGAGCACAGGCCCTGAAGTCAGGAGTACCTGAGTTCAAATCTGGCCTCAGACCAAACACTTGACACTTATTAGCTGTGTGACCCTGGGCAAGTCACTTAACCCCAATTGCCTTAAAAAGAAATGGTGTAGTCTTTGGCTGCCACCTCTTTCCACTTGGCAAGTATGCTAAGGCAGTTATTATGCTCCTCATTATAGTTATTGATTTTTATCTATTAAACTTCTATATGAATTGTTAAAAATGATGTCTATGTTGTTTCATGCATACAGGTCCCATTTATTGATATCAGTAACTTTTAAAAATAGGTCAGGTTGAAGTTATTTAAATTGTATGCCATGCCTTTTTATTATCTTTATTCCGTCTAATTTTGCATTTATTTTGATTTTTATACTAGCAAATGAGTTGTATATCTGCATGCAAATGGTTGACACAGGAATGACCTCTATGTCACTAATGAGGTGTTTCCTCTTTTTTAAGATCTAATTAATTTTTTCTTAAATGATGTTACTCAGTTCTCATCATCGAAAGGCAGCTTTAGTATAATAGATAGATCTTCATGTTAGGAGGCAGGAAGCCCTGGCTGAAAATTCTGCCTCAGATGGTTACAAAATGTATGACCTTTGGCAAACCACTCAGTCTCAGATTCCCTTTCTAGAAAATAAGAGAGTTGGACTTGAAGACCTCTCCGATTCCATCCACCTCTAATCTGTGATCTTATGTTTCTTTATTTGAGGAAAAAATTCATGACATATAGATATGAAGCTTGAACTATCCTTTCTTATTTATAAATCATATTGACAAACATTTTTTCACCATCCTTGCTTATTTTCTCATTTGCATTGAAGTCGTTGTATATCCAAGTATTTTATTTTATTGTTCAGATCTGCAATTTTATCAGTATAGGGAATTTTCAGGTAAGGAAACTCCCTTTTCCAAAGCAGATCAGCAAATTTTCTTTAATTTTTAGTTGTAGTGTGTTGCCTGGGAGCACTGAGAGGTTATGCAACTTGTCCAGTATTAAATAGGTAATGCATATCAGAAGTGGGACTTGTATCCGGGTCTTTCTGACTCTAAGAGGGATTCTGAATTATTCCACACTTCTTTATATCAAAGTGTACATTGATACAATTTGGAAGGTTCTTTCTAGAATGTTTCTACCTCTTTATTCTTTGCAACTGCCATTGATTTATAAGATGAAATCATTTTCATAGCAATCTTTTTGCAAATACATATAATGAGCAAATACTTGTCAACATAAGATGACTAAATTTCCAATGAAATGACATTTATTAATTCCTTTGGATATGTGATAAAACCAACTCTATAACTTCCTTTTTTCAATCTCTCCAAAGTAGAATCTAAGAACTATCCTTTAAATGAGTTGCTACTTCTTTTTCCTTGTGGTTTCCTTTATGATAAGAATATAATTTAGTATGATTCAATTCCTCTAGTCATATGTTCCTCACTGGACAAGAACCTTACATTTACAATACGGATAGCTTAATTAATGCCTATATACAGCCTAAAACCTACCTGATTCTTAGTAACCACTGCTCCTTTCCCCACGATTCTGCCATTATCACAAGTGACTTGTAAGGTGACCACATAGGACGAAAGGCCACTTGGATTTTTTCTGGGTTTTACAGGTCGCTCTGGACAAAGAATTCATCATTAAGTGGCCACACAACAATGATCTTCTCTGTAATTACAGAGGCTGAACTTAGAAAGCAGATAGTCTATAATTGGGACTGTATATCATGAGATTTTACTTTGACGTCTCATCATGTCATGGAGGTGATTCTGCTTTCTTATAGGCCAAAGTCAGTCTGTCAGTAAGCATTTACTAAGTGGCTTCTATTTGCCAGATACTATATTAAGTGCTGGGGATATAAAAAGAAGCAAAAGATAGTTGCTGCCCTCAAGGAGATCACAATCTAAGGGGATGATAACAAGAAAAAGATATGTTCAAACAAACTATGGCCAAGAACAAATCGGAAATAATTCAGAGGTGGAAGGCACTAGAATTAAGAGGGATGGGGAAAGGCTTCCTGTAGAAGATGGGATTTGAACTGGGATTTAAAGGAAGCCAGGGAAGTCAGTAGGCAGAGATGGGGTTGGAGAACATTCTAGGCATGAGGCACAGCTAGAGAAGTGGAAGGCATGTTCTGGCAGGTTCTACCACTCTGAAAAAGTTTCCAGTCCTAGACCAAGTTAATTTTTTTAAAAGGGCTAAATATTTGTCCATCTAACTTCTTGTCTTCATCTTTAGAGACAGCGTATTAAGAACTGAATAATTAACTTTGAATTTAAAAAGTAAATAGAAGCACAAGTGAATAAATATCACTTTAAATGGACAAACATTAGGATGAGTATAGAAGTGTTAATAAGGTATAGCTCACTAATTTTATCATTGATACTAGTGGCATTAAAGAGTAAGGTAATTTGGGATTATAATAAAAAAATTTTCAAAAGGTTGGGAAAACTCTGATTGTTTTGTTTTGGAGTAATCTTTCCTTGATGTAGACATTTCCTCTCCAGACGTGGTTCACATGTCCATAGCTTAGATGGCTTCATGAGTTGTGATAAAAACAAAACAAAACAAAACAAAACCAGACAAAAAAATGAATCATCTGATGCCTAACTTTCTGGTAATGGACCTATCCAGACTTGTCAAAGCTGATTCTCACGCAATAGTCTGTACCTGGTCCTGTCACTTGAAGCCTTTCTGTCTGGGTAAGATGTGCCAGAGGTTATATATCACTGGCATACATTTTGAGAGCTCAGGATCACATCCCTCCTGGGTGAAGCTATGGAGGAAAATGTCAGCAGAGAAATATATTTTATATCCATTCAAATATGCAATGTATGATCTTGAGGTTTGGAATAACTTGAAAGATCCAGGACTTCAATGATGAACCAAGGATGTTTTGCTTTAACTGCTTATCTGAAATATAAATGAACTCTGATTTGATTATGTAGATTATCCATAGTAGCAATTATGGACCTTTTGAGTGCTAAAGAACATTCTGCCTGGTTATTGTTAGCTTGATGTGATCTGGCTATGAGTTAAGAACTGTCAATTTGCCTTATTGGGGAGATGTTTCCTAGTCACCACATCCTATCAGGTTAGAGTTGAGACGTCTGGCAGGTGTCCCTGAAGAGATAAAACCCAGCAGCTGATAGAAGGTAGTATTGCCCAGAAGAGAATACCAGACCAGTGACACATCCAGAAAAAAAACAGAACTCCCCCCTCCAAAAAAAAAAGTGAGAGGCAGAGATGTGATATTCAATGGAAAAAAGAGAGACACACACAATAAGATACCCATATGCAGGCCTAGTAGACAGCAAAGCCTAGTGGGGAGCAGGACCAGGAAGGATGTATAATCACATCATCAGAATACATTGGTGGTCCTGAAGCTTCAGAAGCACCAAATAATCTTAAATACTTTAGTCAGTCAGTTAATAAACATTTATTAAGCACTTACTATGTGCCAGGCACTATGCTAAGTGTTGGGGATACAAAAAGAAGTAAATGACAGGCCCTGTCCCCAAGGAGCTCATCATCTAACGGGTAAGACAATAAGCAAATATGTACAAAAAAGTTATATCCAGGATAAATAGGAAGAAATTAAAAGAAGGAAGACTGTATATGTTTCCTATATTTGTCCTTTAGGTATATATCTTAGCCACAAGTGTGCCACCATATGTGATCTATCTATTTCTACTCTTCCCATTGGTGTGTGTATCCATGGGAGAGTTACACTAGATTTAGGGAGGACAGTGTTCCATTGCTGCTTTTGTTACTATACAATTTCATTAAACACCTTTGATTTGAATTAATTGTGTCCTCTAGATGACTAGAAAAAAGTACATGCCAGTGGGTAAATGTAAACTATGACATTGAGTAGTTGTAAACCTACAGAATACCTTAATCCAGGGGTAGCTTTTTGGGGGTTCCACGTGAGAGAAGGAAATTGCTTCATGTGCTACACCAATTTTACCATCCTCTTCTTTAGTACATTTTTGTCTCCTCTTAATAGCCTTCCTCATTCCATCTGGTTTCTGTTTAATTCTTGTTCTTAACTTCTTCCCCAGATTTTGTGTTTCTGCCTCCTCTCTGACTCCCTGTTTCTTCTGTTTAATTTCACAGAAATGTTGAAGATGTATCACACAGCAGATTTCCACAAGAACCCCAACCAAGACCTTGCTCCAGCTATAGTTGCTGCCCATTAACACCTCATTTTCTGACTCACCATCATCAAGCTCTGATAATTGTCCCATTTTCCAGAAATTGTTATCAGATTCTTGTTCTATCATACCCAATTTGGACAAACATCAAGTAACAGAAACCTTAATAACCAAAGCAAGTCATTTGTTGCTTCAGTGACATGATGCTTTCAGTATAGCTATTAAGAAATGGAGTCTCTGCTACTCTTTCCAGCACAAGGAACAGAACCGTACATAGACTATTGTCATTGGAGTTTAGAGATGATAATTGCCATGGAGAATGAGGGTGATGGCCTTAGTGGATGACTCAGAATCACAACCACAGATTGTTAAAGCTGCAGAGAACATTAGACATCACCAAATCTAATCCCTTTGCAGGTCTAAGAGTTTCAGCGACTTCCTCAAGGACATACAGCTAATAACTGTGGCAAACTTGAGGTTCAAACCCATATCTTCTGATTGCAAATCCTGGTATCTTCTGGCACCCCATCACCAAGTATCTAATTGAGGTGAATTCTGAGGAAATTGGAAGTCTTGGCCTGGTGCACGGGCTTGGGCATAAAAACATGCACATGCCTGTAGAATATAAGCTCAGCAAAGTAAGACATCTTTCTTCTGACGCCTGTTGTCTATTTCTGTATGAACTCCTGCAGCCTGACCCTGGATCTCACCTCTTCCTAACTTTCTTGGGCTGGTTGAAACTTCTGTTCCTAATGTTGTCACTCACCTCTGGATCTTTTCCCCCTTAACCCATATCCTAATTACAAACCTTATTTACTTACTAATTACTTACCTTTGCTCATTTTCAGGATGCTTCTGGTCCCTCCTTGTACAAGAATGTTCTGGATAAAACAATTCTCCACTGCTCAAGACAGAGAAGCTTTAATAAGTATTGTGGAACTTGTCCAACTCCATGGGCACCCGTAGAATTACAGCAATCAGGCTGATCCTCCTTCCAGTCTCTAAGGCTGGATCCTGAGCAATGACTCAGAGAGGTAGCAGGTGAGGAGAAATAGGTGGCTACATTAGTGCCTGAAAAAAAAAAAGACATAGAGCTTTTAGGTATTTAATCTGCCTAAATTTCCCTGCTTTATCACCAAAATATTGTATTGCCCCTTGTTCCTTTTCTTTCCTTTACCTCAAGCCATTTTTTGATGTTTACATTTTCTGAATAAAATTTTTACCCCAATTCTACTCCTACCTCCCCTCGACATTCGTATTTGAGGAGTTTTCCTCTGGTTTCCCCATAAAAGGAAGAGTGGGCTCTGCCCCCTTGTCTTTTATCTTAGGACCCAGAAGCTTAAGCTTTGTTTCTCATTCTCACCCTCCATATCCAATCTGTCTCCAAGGCCTGTGGATTTTACCTTTCATGACATTTCTTGAATGCTGCCCCTGTTCTCCTTTGACACTACTACCAGTCTTGTGAAGGCTCTCATCACTTCATGCCTGGACTATTATAATAGTAGTCTACTAGTGGGCCTGCCTGCCACAAGTCTTGTTCTTAGAAAGTCTATCCTCCACTCAGCTGTTAAAGTGATCTTCCTTAAGCATAGGTCTGACAGTGTCTCCCCCACCCCCTCAAATAACTCCAGTAGCTGCCTATCACCTCAGGATCAGATACAGAATCTTCTGTCATTCAAAGCCCTTTACCACCTGCCACCTTTCCAGTCTTCTTAAATCTTACTCACCCTCATGTAGTCTTCCCTTGCTATTCCTAAAACAAGACACTTCATCTTGCTATTATGGCTGTTTTCACTGGCTTTTCTCAATGGCTATAATGCTCTCCTCATTTCCACCTTCTCACTTCATTGACTTCCTTTAAGGACCAGCTAAAATCTTACCTTCTGCAAGAAGCCTTTCCTGATCCCCCTTTATGTTAGTGCCTTCCCTCTATCAATTATTCCCCATTTAGCCTGCAAATAACTTGTTTGTATGTAGTTAATTGCATGTTATTTCTCCAATTAAGTTGTGAGCTCCTTGCCAGTAGGATTGCCTCTTTTTGTATCCCCAGCACTTAGCACAGTCCCTGGCTTGTAGTAGACATTTAATAAATGTTTATTGACTGACTTTTAGAGGAGGCAGGCCCATTACACACCTAGTAACAAATTAGGGAAAAAAAAACTTTTAGCTTTTTTCTGAATAGGGAGGGTTTACCCATTCTTAAAACTTAAGTTATAATAGGCCTTTTTTCTTTAGAAGAATATTCTTCCATCCAGGGGCCAAGCTTTTCTGGGGCACAAAAAGCCAGCTAATTAAGTAGCACCTACAAGGATTAAGTTTGTATTTTAACTCATTTATCCTTTGTAATTCAGAGGGATGTCTGTGTCCCAAGTCTCTATATGGCTCAGGATTAGAAAGTCTATAATTCTTGCTTAATTTCTCATGGTCAATCCCTCAGAATTGCTTCAGGAGACTTCCCCTTCAATAAACTGCCAACTGCTATCTGGGTCTAAACCCTCCCCCCAAGATTTCTCAACTCCAATATTCTTTTTGCAAATGAATACAAATGAATGGAAAGGATGTGGTGCCTTTAAGAGGAAGTCAGGTTTTGATATTTTGCAGATCCTAGTATAGCCCTCTGGCTCTCCATCTGCTATTTTTCATCCTTTCTATCTGACCAGTCCACTTACCTTTCTACTGCTACATATCCTTTTGAACTAATTCTTGAGCTCGAGTTATTGTTGTTACTATGCTACAGTCTACTCACACCCACTATCTGTGTTTTAGCCTTTGCAAATGTGATTCTTCAGAGATTGTGGTGTTCTATGATTTTTTCAGTGCTTTAATTTGCAAGACATTTTACATTGCTTATACTATTTGATTCTCACAACTATCGTACAAAGGAGATGCTACAATGATCCCCATTTCATAGATGATGAAACTGAGACTGAAAGAGGTTAAGTGATTTCCTCTGGGCCACACAGCTAGTAAGTTGTTTGAGGCAGGTTTTGAACTCAGGTTTACCTGACTCTGAGTCCAATACTTTATCCACTACACAACAGTATCCAACCAAAGCACCTCTGAAACATCTAGCAAGGATTCTTGAGCCAAGGACTGTGAACTTCACTTTTTTAAAAAAAAAAATTACTTTAGTGTAATTGGTTTCCTTTGTAATCCTATGCATTTTATTTTGTGCATTTAAACACATTGTTCTGAGTAGTCCATAAGCTTCACCAGATTGCCAAATGGTTCCATGACACAAAAATGATCAAGAATACTCAAGCTAGAGAATCTCAGCTCTGTAAAGCAGGCATTCTTTTCTTTCCTTCCTTCCTTTTTTTCTTCTTTTTTTCCTTCTTTTCTTCCTTCCTTCCTTTCTTCCTTCATCCCTCCTTCCCTTCCTTCCTTTCTCCTTTCCTTCCTTCCTCCCTCCCTTCCTTCCTCCCTTCCTTCCTCCTTTCCTTCCTTCTTTTTTTCTTTCCTTCCTTTTTTTCTTCCTTCCTTCTTTCCTCCCTCCCTTGCTTCTTTTCTTCCTTTCTTCCTTCTTTTCTTCCTGCCTTTCTTCCTTTTCTTCCTCTCTCCCTTCCTTCTTTTCTTCCTGCCTTTCTTCCTTTTTCTCCTTCCTTCCTTCCTTCTTTCCTTCCGGCTTGTGTTTTCTTTTCTGAGAATAGATGACTGGATAGTGATGCTGAGATTAATCTTTCCAACCATGAAGACAACCTTGTAAGTTAGAGAGGTTAGGAGCTCCTGAGTCCCTCAATAGGAATTGGTTGGCAAGAGGAGAAAGTTCCTGCAATGACATCCTTCTTGGAGAAGCAGACACAAAGGCATGATGAGCTCAATTCCTGGTCTGTCTTGCCAGAAGACTTTGATCTTGACCTAATTGTTCAGAAAGTGCAAAGCTAAGATGAAGGTGAAATGCCCATTCCCACGGTCCCACTTATATTATACATTTTACTGGTTTAATATCAACATACTGGGAAATGATAATAAAAGCAATGGGTTACTGAATCATATTTTAAATCATTGTCAATGTGTATTTTTAATCTTTTTTGTTTTATTCATTTTATTTGTGCAGAGGAAATAAATAGCTGTCCTATACCAGATCTATATTGTGCATTGAGCACTTTCCTGCTTTCTTGTTTGGAGGTAGACCTTATCCATGGGTCAAATTGGAGCTTTAAGTGATACTTTCCCTGGGGCTCCAAGGTGGAAGGGGATATAAAGTGCTAGATCCAAAGAGAAAGATTGATCCTTGCTTTGGAGACTGGACTCTACTGGGACTAAACCTAGGACTTGAAGAGCGAGCCCAGACATGAGGACCTTTGGCGAATGAAAGCATTTCCAGTACCTTGGACCTATAAATGGTTCTCTTGTCATATAGACATTGGTTACCATTTGGAACAGTAGAATCTGCTTCCTATTAGCTCTAGGGCTCTCTATTGACACAACTGTACAACTTTATCATATAATGTTTTCATGGCCATAGAACAAAATCATTTTGAAAGCATGGCTGCTTCCAGGTATGTTATGTGCCATAAGTTTAAGTCTAGTAGTACATCATTACATTACTCCAATTTCTGCCATTCTCTTGATTAGGAGAGTGATCTCCAAAGAACAAAGCTTAAAACCCTGAAGATCAATTCTTAGTCTGTATCACTTCCCCTAGGGCTTCATCATGCAGTGACTTCTGCTATGAGTCATGCAAGGACAAATGAAGCAAGAAGCTTGGTTTCAGTACAATGTTCCACCAATGACACAATGTCTGGCAGAAATTATAGCCTCCAAGGTTGTACTTTCTTTTTAAAAAATATATTTTTATTAATATCTTTTGTTTTTACATTGCCTATATTTCCCCTTTTTCTTCCCTACCAGAGAACTGTCTCTTAGAAGAAAGAATTTTTTTTAAAAGAGAATAAGAACAATAAGAAGAAGGAAAAAATTAAAAATTTTGATCAATACATTGAACAACATGACATTTTATGTAACATTCCACAATTTTGGATCTTCCACTTTTGAGAAAAAGAGAACTTGCATGTGGGAATCTTTTTATGACTTTTCTTTAGGGGCAAGCATGTTCCTCATAAATTCACAACATTCAGTTTCAATTGTTTTGTGGTTGTTATTCTTTACATTTGCATGGTTGTAGTGAAAGCTGCACTTTCATGTGAAAGAGAGGCTTGTTCCCCTCAATGTCACAGATTACATTCACCCCTCTATAGTCTGGATGTTACCTTGGTTTTGGATCGTCATGGCCTAACATCATGCCTCTACGTTAGTGTTCATTGGCTGGTAGTGTGCTCTGAACTCTTAGTTGATTAGTGCCATGGGTTGTAGTGTGTAAAAGAGGAAAAAAATTTACATTTATTGTATATTTAAAAGGATTAACAAATTATATATAATAGATTTACAATTTTATGTGCAATTATCTTAATTATACTGTGTTATGGAAATGTTTGTTTTATTCCATAAATTAAAAATAAAATGAATTTTTAAAAAACTGAACTCCATACCCACAAGCATTATAATTTATCTCACTGAACCTCACCTCAAAGTCAAGAACTCCAGTTTATGAATGGGATTGAAGACTCACTATATATAAGTACGCAACTGGCAAATACAATAGATTTTTTGTGCCCATTGCTCTCCTTACTTAAGACTATTCCAAAGCCCAGTGTCAGTATCTAACACAAAGGGCTTTCATGAATTGGTCAACTTTGATTCAAAAGCGAACCAGTTCACCAAGTCCTTAGAGGCTCATTTATTTTTCTTGTTCCAAAGATCACCCAATGGTATTGGGAGGTTCATGCCAGGTTGCTCCTTTTTGTTTTTCTGTTTGTAGTTCTTCTCAACCGCATACTCATGAGTGAGATCACTGAGAGACTTAGAGACAATTCTGTAAACATTTCTGAGAGTTGCTACCAGAATATTAGAAAAGTCACTCTCAAAGGTTCTTTGGAGGTATTCAACTAATGAGCACCTCTATTTTCATGGGATCAGTACTTGCTGGGGAAATACTACATGATGATGGCTCTGAAGAACTGGCATTTGTCAATTGACAACTTCATACCCACTTCTGCTAGCTCTTCATA